ACGAGGAGGAGGCGGAGGAGGAGGAGGAGGAGGAGGAGGAGGTGGAGGTGGAAAAGGATGAGGAAGATGGGAAGAGCAGGAGGATGAGGAGGAAAAGGAGGTGGTGGATGAGGAGGAGGAGGAGGATGAGGAGGGGGAGGAGGAGGATGAGGAGGAGGAGGAGGATGAGGTGGAGGAGGACCAGGAGGAGGCGGAGGATGAGGATGAGGAGGAGGAGGAGGAGGAGGAGGAGGAGGAGGAGGAGGAGGATGAGGCGACGGCGGTGACGACGGCGGCGGCGACGGCGGCGAAATGACGACGACGGCGGCGAAGACGACGACGAACACGACGACGACGATGACGGTGGCGGCGTCGACGACGACGACGACGACGTCGACGACGACGGCTGCGAAGACGAAGACGCTGACGGCGGCGGCGGCGACGACGACGACGACGGCGAAGCCACCTGAAGCGGCGGCGGCGGCGATGACGACGACTTGTCCGACGACGACAACGGCGGTGTCGACGAAGCTGACAACGAGGGCGGCAACGACGACGACGGCGACGACAACGATGGCGACGGTAGCGGCGGCGACGACAGCGATGATGACGTCGTTGTTCACGACGGCGACGGCGGCGGCGACGACGACGACGAAGACGGCGACGACAGCGTTGACGACGACGGTAATGGCGTCGACGACGACGACGTCGACGACGACGACAACCATCACAATGGCGACGGCGGTGGCGGCGACGACGACGACGACGAACACGACGACGACGACGTTGATGACGGTGGCAGCGACGACGACGATGACGACGACTGCGTTGGAAGCGGCGGCGGCGACCACGACGACGACGACGACGTGATCGTCGTCGACGATGGCGTCATTGGCGACGACGGCGATGATGGTGGCGGCGGCGACGACGACAGCGACGGCGTCGGCGATGCTGGCGATGCCGTCGATGACGTCGACGACGACGACGACGTCTTCGACGACGACGTATAACGTTCTCGACGACGGTGGCGGCGGCGGCGACGATGACGACGACGACGAGACGACGGCGGCAACGACGACTACGAGCACGACGACGACGACGACGACGGCGGCGGCGGCGACGATGGCGACGACGACGGCGGCAGATTCGACGACGACGACGGCAACGGCGACTGCGGCAGCAGACGATGACACCGACGACGACGACGGCGTCGTCGACGACGACGTACGACGACGACGGCCACGGCGACGGCGGCGACGGCGATGGCGACGGCGATGGCGACGGCGACGGCGGCGACGACGACGACGAGACGACAGCGGCAAACGACGACGACGACGACGACGACGACGACGGCTGCGACTGCTGCACCAGACGATGACACCGACGACGACGACGGGCGTCGTCGCGACGACGTCGACGACGACGGCCACGGCGACGGCGGCGACGGCGACGGCGACGGCGACGGCGACGACGACGGCGACGGCGACGGCGACGGTGTCGACGACGATGACGACGACGAAACGACAGCGGCAACGACAACTACGAACGCGACGACGACGACGACGGCGGTGGCGGCGCGACGACGGTGACGATGGCGGTGGCGACGACGATGGCGACGACGACGACGGCGGCGGCGACTGCGACGACGACGACTGCGACTGCGGCAGCAGACGATGACACCGACGACGACGACGGCGTCGTCGACGACGACGTACGACGACGACGGCCACGGCGACGGCGGCGACGGCGATGGCGACGGCGATGGCGACGGCGACGGTGACGGCGACGACGACGACGGCGGCAACGACGAGACGACGGCGGCAACGACGACGACGACGACAACCATGACGATGGCGACGGCGGTGGCGGCGACGACGACGACGAACACGACGACTACGACGTTGATGACGGCGGCAGCGACGACGACGATGACGACGACTGCGTTGGAGGCGGCGGCGACCACGACGACGATGACGACGTGAGCGTCGTCGACGACGGCGTCATTGGCGACGACGCCGATGATGGTGCTGGCGGCGACGACGACGGCGACGGCGTCGGCGGCGCCGACGATGACGACGATGTCGACGTCTTCGACGACGACGTACAACGGCATCGACGACGGCGGCGGCGGCGGCGGCGACGACGACGACGATCCCTACGACGGCGGCAACGACGACTACGATCACGACGACGACGACGACGGCGGCGGCGGCGCGACGACGACGACGATGGCGGCAGCGGCGACGATGGCGACGACGACGGCGGCGGCGACGGCGACGACGACGACGGCGACTGCGGCAGCAGACGATAACGCCGACGATTGCGACGACGGCGTCGTCGACGACGACGTACGACGACGGCGGCGACGGCGACGGCGACGGCGACGGCGGCGAGGACGACGACGACGACCGCGGCGGCAACGACGACTACGATCACTACGACGACGACGACGACGACGACGGCGGCGGCGCGGCGACGACGACGATGGTGGCGGCGACGACGATGGCGACGACGACGACGGCGGCGGTGGCGACGGCGACGACGACGACTGCGACTGCGGCAGCAGACGATACCACCGACGACGACGACGGCGTCGTCGACGACGACGTACGACGACGACGGCCACGGCGACGGCGGCGACGGCGATGGCGACGGCGATGGCGACGGCGACGTCGACGGCGACGGCGACGGCGACGACGACGGCGATGATGGCGATACGACGGCGGCGACGACGACGACGACGCCCGCAGCGGCCGCGGCGGCCGAAGCGGCGCCCAGGCCTGCGCCGCCTTCGGCGCCCGGGTCGCCCGCGTGCCCCGCGAGGGCGGGCGGGCTCCGCCGCTGCCCGATCTGACGGAGGGGACGGCGTCGGGCGCCCGCCGCCGTCGTCGTCGTCGTCGTCGTCGGCGGCGGCGGCGGCGGCGGTGGTGGCGGCAGTGGCGGCGCCGTCGCTGTCGTCGTCGCTGTCGTCGTCGTCGTCGTCGTCGGTGCCGTCGTCGTCGTCGTGATCGTCCTCCCCCCTCCTCCTTCAGCTCTCCCTCAATCACTCTTGAACCCTCCTCCGGATCCCACCTCCACCTCCTCTCCGTCCTCCTGCTCCTTCACCCCCCACTCCTATTAATTCATATATCCTCCCTGTCGCACCCCCTCGCGTGTCGGTAGGGAGGGCCGGGCGTTTCGCTTGAGGCTTCGTACCGCTCATGCACCTTAAGCTTGAACTTTGCAACAGTTTCACGGATGGATGGCGGGCCGTTTTCTACATGTGGCTCTCGTTCTAGCGCCGCGCAGTTTCACGGATGGAGGGCGGGTCCTTTTCTAGATGTGGCCCTCGCTTTGTCTCGCTCATGCGTTTCGATATTTCGCAGCAGGTTCAAGGATGGAAGGCGGTTCGTTTTCAAAAGGTGGTTCTCGCCTTAGCGTCACGCACATTCGTTTAAACAACATGCATCAGGTTCAAGGATGGAGGGTGGTCTTTTTCAACGCGTTTCTCTTGCCTCAGCGTCGCGCGCATTCGTCTTAAACATTTGCAGCACATGCAAGGGTTCGTATGGTTGAAAACCCAGGAAAAGTGTTCTCAGGCATCGAAATCTATTCATTTCCACTACTCCCTGGCCAGACCACTCCTGATACGCTCTCCCGGCCAAGTCAGGAGGGCGTGGCATATACACCGCTGCTGGGTTCAGGATGGGGCCTGGCCAGGGATCAGTGGATATGTATAGATTTCGTCGCCCCATGTTCTGGCACGATTCAGGGTCGTCAGGACGCGACGGTCACGTCGCTTCGCGGTGGTGAAGCCCCAGGAGAGGTCGCACGCGGGAGGTCTGGGCGCCGCCGCCGCTGCCTGAGCTGACGGAGGGCGCCGGGCGTCGTTGCCGCGGCCGTTGTCGTCGTCGCGATCGTCGTCGCGATCGTCGTCGCAATCGTCGGCCTCCTCGAGGGGGCGGGGTCGGGCCTCCACGGCTGGCTCTCGGTCGCCCCAGGAGGGGGCGAGGGGAGGGGGAGGGTGGGAGGGAGGGAGGGAACGAGGGAGGGTGGGAGGAGGGGAGGGGGAAGCAGGGAGGGAGGGAGGGAGGGAGGGAGGAGGGAGGGAGGGAGGGAGGAGGAGAGGAGGGAGGAGGAGGAGGGAGACAGGTAGGGGGGACGGAAGGAGGGAGGGAGGGGAGGGAGGGGGAGGGATGAGGGAGGGAGGAGGGAGGGAGGGAGGGATGGGTGGAGAGAGGAGGGGCGGCGCAGGGGAGGAAAAGGGGAGAAGGAGGAGAGGAGGAGGAGGAGGAGGAGGAGGAAGAGGAGGAGGGAGGGGGGAGGGAGGGAGAGAGGAGAGGAGGGAGGGGGGGAGACGCGAGGGAGGGAGAGAGGGGGTGAGGATGGAGGAGGAAGAGGATCGGACGAGATGATGCAGATGATGATGATGATGATGATGATGATGATGCTGATGCATGATGATGATGATGATGATGATGATGATGATGATGATGATGATGATGATGATGATGATGATGATGATGATGATGATGATGATGATGATGATGATGATGATGATGATGATGATGATGATGATGATGATGATGATGATGATGATGATGATGATGATGATGATGATGATGATGATGATGATGATGATGATGATGATGATGATGATGATGATGATGATGATGGGAGGGAGGGAGGGAGGGAGGGAGGGAGGGAGGGAGGGAGGGAGGGAGGGCCCGTGTGCAGCTGCGTGTTCCGTTTCTGGGACCTCCTGGCCTCCTGGCCGGTTCGTAGCCGGCGGTATGTGCCCGTTCGTGGTCGCGCTTGGTCGTTCCAGGGCCCGTCTGTGGCCCCCGAGCTTGTCCGCGGGAACTCGTTCCCCATCTTCCCCTGGGAGCCCGAGGCCGCAGCACCGCAGACGAAGGACTGCATGCTCCGAGTGTGCCCCCTTCCTCCCCGTTTGTTGTTGAAAGCAACGCACATGCTCCTCAAAGTTGAAAGAAGAGAGTAGCCTCAGCCAGGAACGCACTAAGGGGGCTCAAATGCCCTTGTAGTCCATACCAACGGAATAAGTTCGTCAATGTCAACTGACACCCCGTTTTTGTCGGGGTGGAGGCCTTTACAGAGACGGCGTATGTTCTTCACACCCGTCACCGTGGGGGGACCGCATTTACGACCCAGGCCGATGACTTGAACTCCGCTGCTATAAAACTTTCTCGACGTGCACAGGAACAGGTGAGACTTGTCAGAGCAGGGGAACGCTAGCACTCGAACCCCTTGGTCCAGGGACGAAGCTCCCGGGCATTATCCACCAGAGGGCCTTGCGGACAGGCGGACGCCGCGCAAACGCACCATGTCCACAGAGAGCCCCGCTGCTCCCAAGTGTGGGCGAGCTCTAGAAATGGGGGACGAGGGATGGGACGCTAGGAAACGCTGCAAACCTCGAAACTCCAACTTGCGCCAAAGTGGCATGAGCTCCCCACTCCAGGGGTTTCCCTGGAACCTTTTTGGAGGAAAATCGTTGTTTGACAGCCCCCCTCGGACTTGACGGACTGCTGGGCCGCCGCGAAGCACGCCTTGATCCCCCACTTGTGCAGCATCGCCTTCTTCGAAAGAGCGTGTTCTACCGCTGCTGGCGGAAAACCCCTCGCCGCCGGCAAACGATGCCCGCTCCTCGGGACAGTTGGAGAATGGTGGGGATGTTGGGACAGTGGTGGGAACGGTGGTGGTGGGGACAGTGATGCGGGGACAGTGGGACAGTGGTGCGGACAGTGGTGGGGACGGTGGTGGTGGGGACAGTGGTGAGGGGACAGCGGGACAGTGGTGGGGACAGTGGGACAGTGGTGCGGACGGTAGTGGTGGGGACATTGGTGAAGCCAGTGGTGAGGACAGTGGTGGGACAGTAGAACAGTGGGGAAAGTGGTGGGGACATTGGGGACAGTGGGACAGTGATGGAGACAGTGGGGACGGTGGGACACCACAGTGGGACAGCGGCGGGGACAGTGGGACAGTGGTGGGAACAGTGGGGACAGTGGGACAGTGGTGGGGACCGTGGGGGAAGTGGGGAGAGTGGGATTGTGGTGGGACAGTGGTGGGGAGAGTGGGGACAGTGAGACACTGGTGGGGGCACTGGTGGGGACAGCGGGGACAATGGTGGGAACAGTGGGGACAGTAGTGGGGACGGTGGTGGTGGGGACAGTTGTGTGGGGACGGTGGGAATGTGGTGGAAACAGTGGGACAGTGGAGGGTACAGTGGGGGTGGCGCAGTGGTGAGGGCGGTGGCGAGGACGGCGGTGGGATAATGGGACAGAGGTGCAGTAGGGACAGTGGTGGGGACAGTGGGGACAGTGGTGGGAACAGTGGGACAGCTCAGTGGGACAGCGGCGGGGACAGTGGGACAGTGGGACACTGGGGACTCCGACGCCGGGGCTCGCCGCCGAAGTTTCTCCCAGAGCGTATGGGCCTGGCGGCCGCGCGGTGGGGGGCCCAGGCGGTCCAGTGCGGCGCCGCGGCTGGTGCGGAGCCCGCGCGGGCTCCGCCGCGGCGGAGAGAAGCGCGCCCGCCGCGCGGCGCCGCCGTGCCGGCAGGGGCGAAGGCCCGGGCAGCGGCCCTTCGGCGGCCCTCAGCGGTCCAGGGGTGCCTTCGGCGGCAGCGGCGACGGCGACCGAGGAGGAGGAGGAGGAGGAGGAGGAGGAGGAGGAGGAGGAGGAGGAGGAGGAGGAAGGAGGAGGAAGGAGCAGGTGGAAGGAGGAAGGAGCAGGTGGAGGCGGTGGTGGCGGATGACGAGGAGAAGGATCAGCAGCAGTGGCAGCAGCAGCAGCAGCAGCAGCAGCCGCAGCAGCAGCAGGAGCAGGAGCAGGAGGAGGTGGAGGAGGAGGAGATAGAGGATGATGATGAGGAGGAGGAGGAGGAGGAGAAGGAGGACGGGGGTGGCTCCTCGTCGTGGCTCTCTTGGGAGGAGGGGGACGACGAAGGTTAGGAGCAGTAATTCCCAACCATTCTGTGGTGTTGGGTCCTCGTTTTTAAGAGACGGTCCCCGCTTTCACTCCTCCCGCTGCCCCCTCCCTCCTCCTCCGCTGCCCCCTCCCTCCTCCCTCCTTCCCCGCATCGCCTATGCCTTCCGCGTGTCTTTGTTTCGGCGCGCCCCTCACACGTTTCGTGGCCCCACAGGGGGCCCCACGGAAGGCCCAAATGCCAGCGTTCGCATGCGGCCACCACGCCCATTTTGGCACGCCCCTCCTTCGCTTCGTGGCTCCATAAAGAGCCCCACGGAAGGCCCAAATGCCAGCGTTCGCAGGCGGCCACCGCACCCATTTGGGCACACCTCTCACACGTTTCGTGGCCCCACAGGGAGGGAGCTTTACCAGAAGCCCAACTGCCAGCGTTCGCATGCGCCCACCGCACCCATTCGGGCACACATCTCACACGTTTCGTGGTCCCACAGGGAGCCCCACGGAAGGCCCAAATGCCAGCGTTCGCAGGCGGCCACCGCACCCATTTTGGGACACCATCCACACGTTTCGTGGCCCCATAGGGGGCCCCACCAGAAGCTCAAATGCTTGCGTTCGCAGGCGGCCACCGCACCCATTTTGGCGCGCCCCTCGTTCGCTTCGTGGCTCCATAGGGAGCCCCACGGAAGGCCCAAATGCCAGCGTTCGCATGCGCTAGCCCCACCCATTGTGGCACGCCCCTCGCACGTTTCGGGGACCCATAGGGGGCCCCACCGAAGGCCCAAATGCCTGCGTTCGCAGGCGGCCATCGCACCCATTTGGGCACACCTCTCACACGTTTCGGGCTCCCATAGGGAGCCCCACCGAAGGCCCAAATGCCAGCGTTCGCATGCGGCCACCGCACCAATTTGGGCACGCCCCTCGTACGTTTCATGGCCCCATGTAGAGCCCCACAGACAGCTCAAATGCCAGCGTTCGCATGCGCCCACTGCGCCCATTTTGGCACATCCCTTACACGCTTCGCGGCCTCATAGGGAGTTCCACCGAGGGCGGTGCATACAACGGCTGCACCCGCAACTGCATCTGGTTGGGTTCTTCGCCAGGCTGATTGTTTTTGATGTCTTCTCCCCTTTTTGGACCGGTTTCCGTCAGGGTTTGCGTTTCCCACAATTCAACAATTTGAAAAGAGCGAATTATGGGAAACGCAACACCGGACGATTGCCCCAAGGACACATTGCGCGGGAAACGCGTTTCCCATAATTCAAATTCCGATTCTCGGAATTCCGAATTATGGGAAACGCAATTTTCCCCCCAAAACAACACTCAATGAGCCACAATCGCGTTTCCCTTAATTCCGAATTCCGAGACTTCGAATTCTGAATTATGGGAAACGCAACTTTCCTCAACAAAAGCCGCGCTCGATGAACCACATTTTGCGTTTCCCATAATTCGGAATCATGGGAAACGCAATTGTGGCTCATTGAATGTTGTTTTCTCAGGAAAATTGCGTTTCCCATACTTCGGAATTCCGAGAATTCCGACAATTTGAATTCTGACTTATGGGAAACGCAATTGTCTTCAAAAGACCGCATCAATGAGCCACAATTGTGTTTCCCATAATTAGGCATTATGGGAAACGCAATTGTGGCTCATTGTGTGCTGGTTTTTGAAGAGAAAACTGCGCTTCCCATAATTTGGAATTCCGAGAATTCGAATTCTGAATTATGGGAAACGCAATTTAATTCATACAACCGCACTCAATGAACCACAATTGCGTTTCCCATAATCAAAAAATATGGGAAACGCAATCCCGGACGACTGCCTTTGGACCTCTTTGAGGAGCCCCCGTCGCCCCGGCTGGATCCGCCTCGAAGTCCTGCTCACAACGCCCTGAACATGCCCTGGCATGGGCCGTCGCGGCCAGCGACCAATCCGTCTGCAGCAGCATCAAAAGTGAGACTGCCTATGCGCGAATGCAGGTGGCAGAAACCCACGCGGCACGGAAGATCTTGCCGCAGAGAAAGGCGAAGAGCAGCCATCCCTGGCGGCCGACCCGAATCTGGAATCAGAGTAAGAGAGGCCCAGGCCTCGAGCATGGATGCGCTTCGAGGAGGGGTAAGTAGGGAGCTCCCCCCAGCACCCCAGGGGAACCAAAAAGAACGTGTCTGCAGCCTCCAAAGACAGCGTTTACTTCTGTTAGTCGCCAGACAGGCAAACCCGTAAATGTCAGGCGACACTCATTCGGGTTGGTTATTGAACGAGTAAGTGCCAGAAGTAATAACAACCAGCGCCCATAAAGGCAATGAGTTCACAAGGGGCGCCGAAGGTGGTCCCACGAGCTTCCAAGAAGCTCCCTAAGCACATCCTCATCCATTCTAGCTCACGGTAGCTATTCCAGCGCAAGGAGCATGGGCTATTAATCAATCGGTGGCCAGCGCTGTGGGCGGATCTTCTGCCCACTTTGAAGGCTGACGTTTTGCAGACGATGACGTCCGACGAAGTAGTCACGGTGCAGATCCAGATAAGTCGTAGGAATCTCGAATGGCGAATAGCTGGGAGGACGCCGACCATACATGCATACCGATCCTGGTCGGGCCAATCTTCGACCCAGGGTGGGTGTAAACGCCTCTGTATAAGTATAGATGGTGTCCCCGAAGTGGATGTCATGCCGGGGTTGTACCACCCTTCCAGTTCTCGAAGCACCGAACGGCTGCTGCAGAGGGCCTCAGCCAGCACGTCGGCCAGCATCGACAGGTAGGGCTGCGTGACTGGACCATTACATGGTCAAGTGTCTGGGAACGGGCAGATACAATTACTAAGACAACCAGGTCCACCAACACGGGGCCCCTTTGAAGCGCTGGAGGCTTCGAAAGGAACTGCGTGGGCTCAAGACAACCATCGTCAGGGGTGAGCGCAATCTCAGCAAAAGGGGCTCCGAGAGGAGCATGGCCCGTCCCTTCGCCATCGTTTGCTTTGTCAAGGATAGGCGCGAATTCTAGGTGGTCAGCGCAGCAGTGATACCAGCGAGTTCCATGTGGGTCGGTTTCACTGCCGCCTGAAGCACCAAAGCACCAGGGCATGGATATGCCAGATGCGTCTAGCATCCTCGATGGCTGTTCTCCCTGCGCGTTTGGGCTCGAGATGTTGATGCGTGTGCTCGCGGAGCGCTTGGCGTTCTTCGACACCATGAACTCGTGCCTCGAATGGAACGAAGATTGCGAATGCCTTAAGGCCATGCCGCCGACCCTGAAGGGGCATGACGAAGACCACCGTCGTGCTCGGCAGCTTCCTCGGCGAGGCGGGCGTCACATCCGCCTGAGCATGTTCAGCTGTGCACCCGCTGTGGCAGATCACGGTTTGCTCGGGCCTTCGTTGGCCTCCTTTGAAGGTCTCTTGGGTGATCCTTGGGGTGTTTGGAGGCCTCGGGAGCCCATCAGAAGCCGAGTGAGGAGGAGGAGGAGGAGGAGGATGATGAGGAGGAGCAAGTCAGTGAAATACCGTCACGATTTCCAGCGGTTTTGGCCTCCAGGATGCATCCGTGGGCGGTTCCATGGTTGCCTGGAGTCTGAGGGTGATCAGCTCCGTGGCCTCCAGTTCTGGGAGCTCAGGGTCACGGTGTCCCTGCGCGTCATGGGGGGGCGATGGATGGGGGGCAGCGAGGGCTGCAGAAGAGGGCCCTTTAGGGCCTACAAGGGCGCCTTCAAGGCCCGAGAAGTGCACCTTTCTCCCCCCAATTATCGTCCCCCCAATGAGCGACGCCCAGTGTCCGTGATCTTGAGTTGCGGCAGGTCGCGCTGTTGGGCAATCTTTCCGCCGTCCGTCGTCGCATACATATACGCCGCATTCTTGCCTCCAGGTCTTTGCGCTCGGTTCGGCCCGAGTCCACAAATCCGTCGACGACGCCAACGCGGCAACGCCATGCCCCCCCCACAGCGATGGGATGGCGCACTTCCTTGGATGCTCACTCCCTTGGATGCTTGTCATGGGGGCGGAGGTTGGGGGACGAGGTGACGTGGTCCCTCCAGACCTACCGACCCCATCACCACAGCGTTTTGCGTTCTGTAGTTTTTTTCTCGCAGCTGTTGTTGGGTGGTCCTGGCCTCTGCAACGCCTCCAGGGGCCCAATACTTGGAGAAGCTGGCCGTCATCAGGTTTCCTTGATGCAGACGACGCAGCTCACGACGCGGACGACGCGGACGACGACGACGGCGACGACGACGAGTTCTTGTCGCCTTGTATGGGCTTTCACAGAATTGAATGAATTTCAAGAGCGTCTCGGGCGAGAGCGCCATTTCTGAGTGTGATACTTCATGTGATAGGGGCGTTTCTCAGTAATCTGTAAGACAGTATCGAACGGGAGCCGCTGTCGTCGCATTTGGACCTCCAACAACTTGGCTCAATTGCGAGGAAGTCCTGAGTGACAGCGCCTCTTCTGGGCTTTGGGCCCTTTCTGGCCAGAGCGTCTCGGAGTGAGCTGTGAGGAGGCATTGAACTGAGCCGTTGTCGGCGTAGTTTGGCCGTCGCCAACTAGCATGATTCGCGACGAAATCTCGAGCGAGAGCGCCGTTCTGGAGGTTGAACTCGCAGTAAATATGAGGGAGTATCGAGCGTGAGCCGTTGTCGTAGCAACACACATTGGTCCCCAAGCCCGCGCTCGAGCGGAAGCCTCGGTTTCAAAGAAAATGCCACCAGTGTCAATGCAAGAGTGCCTGGAACCCATGCCAGAGATCAACACTATCTATTCTTTTAGAAATCCGTATTCGACAACGACGGCGACGAGGACGAGGAGGACGAGGACGAGGACGAGGACGACGACGACGAGGACGACGACGAAGACGACGACGATCGATACAACGACGACGACAACGATCCATACTACGACGACGACGACGACGACGAGGGTAACGACGACGACGACGGCGGCGGCGGCGGCGGCGACGACGACGACTGACGACGACGTCGACGATGACGACGACGACACACGACGACGACGACCGCCCCAGCGACAAGGCGAGGCAGTCCCGCTCCGCGCGTGGCGGGCCGGTGGGCGCCGAGGCCATGCTGAGGCTGCGGCAGGCGCGGGCCCGCCCTCGCCGTCACGCCGCCGCTCCGCCGCTCCGCTGGTGGTGGTCGTAGTGGTCGTGGTGGTCGCGGTCGTGGTGGTCTTTGTCGTCGTGGTGGTCGCCGTGGTGGTCGCCGTCGCGGTCGTGGTGGTCGCAGTCGTGGTGGTCGTCGTGGTGGTCGCGGTGGTTCGTTGTGGTCGGCGCGAACCACTGCGACCTCGTCGGCGAAACGTGGGCGAGGGGCCAGGGCCTCCCGCTGGCGTGGAGGAGCAAGCGCGGGAGCCTGGGGGCAAGGGCTAGGTGGTCATGCACGTGGCGCCGACGGCGGTGGCCAAGAAGAACTCAGGGCACGCGGGAGCGGAAGTTTCGTTTCACCCCAGTCCGCAAATTGATTCATTGGCTTACGCCGCACAACCGACCCCTTGTGCCGGCAGCAAGAGTGAAAGAGATTTCGCGGAACTCGCGCGATCGCTGGGCACTCTTGGGGTTTCGGCCTGTCCTGCGTAGCGTGTGGGGTTCCAAGGGGGGGTGTAGGGGATTGTTTTGAAGTTTTTCGTGGTCTTGTGTGGGTTTCTTGGGGCCTTCACGGGGCCTGTCCCAGGCCTCCTTTTCCACCTCCCAGATAGGCTCGGGATCGTTGAGACCCAGCTCGGGTTGCGTCCGGCCAGAAATTCGAGAGTGGACCCAGCTGTGTCGACGAGGAGCTTCCTGAAGGCTCAGAGGGGGCGGAGAGCGCCCAAGTACTAGGAGTCTCATGCCTCGAGCCTCCATCCACCCCGTGTTCCTTCCTTTGCGAAGGAGTGGCGCTGGCCAGGGAGTCGATCCTCATCCCGAACTTTCGGCGGTGGTCCCCGGCACCGGAAACGGTTCCTGGAGGCTGAATTCGAGGAGATGCCTCGGGTGGCCGAAAGACCACGGAAATCTGTGAGACATCGGCGGCGACGACGATTTGTTCCCAACCCTCCTGCGTTGGGTTCTCGTTTTGAATCGAGCACTGCTCGCGCGTCTCCTTCCCACGCGCGTCTCCTTCCCACCCCCTCCCGTCCCTCTCTTCCCCCCTGCCTTTGACCTCGCCGTCCCTGGGGGGCTGCGCTTTGTGAAACTGTCGCCACATTCGAGGCCTGCTGGGGGGCCCAGCACAGTGGGTACCCACCGCAGATTCAAATTAGACCTCGCCATCCCTGGGGGGCTGCGATCTGTGAAACTGTCGCCACTGTCGAGGCCTGCTGGGGGGCTCAGCACAGTGGGTACCCACCGCAGATTCAAATTAGACCTCGCCATCCCTGGGGGCTGCGATTTGTGAAACTGTCGCCACTTTCGAGGCTGCTGAGGGGCCCAGCACAGTGGGTACCCACCGCAGATTCAAATTAGACCTCGCCATCCCTGGGGGGCTGCGATCTGTGAAACTGTCGCCACTGTCGAGGGCTGCTGAGGGGCACAGCACAGTGGGTACCCACCGCAGACTCAAATTGGACCTCGCCATCCCTGGGGGGCTGCGATCTGTCAAACTGTCGCCACTTTCGAGGGCTGCTGAGGGGCACAGCACAGTGGGTACCCACCGCAGACTCAAATTAGACCTCGCCGTCCCTGGGGGGCTGCGATCTGTGAAACTGTCGCCACTTTCGAGGGCTGCTGAGGGGCACACACGGTGGGTACCCACCGCAGACTCAAATTAGACCTCGCCATCCTTGGGGGGTTGCGATCTGTGAAATTGTCGCCACTTTCGAGGGCTGCTGAGGGGCACAGCACAGTGGGTACCCACCGCAGACTCAAATTGGACCTCGCCATCCCTGGGGGGCTGCGATCTGTGAAATTGTCGCCACTTTCGAGGCCTGTTGGGGGGCCCAGCACAGTTGGTACTCAACGCGGACTCAAACTAGACCTCACCATCCCTGGGGGGCTGCGATCTGTGAAACTGTCGCCACTTTCGAGGCCTGCTGGGGGGCCCAGCGCAGTGGGTACCCACCGCAGATTCAAATTAGACCTCGCCATCCATGGGGGGCTGCGATCTGTGAAACTGTCGCCACTTTCGAGGCCTGCTGGGGGGCCCAGCGCAGTGACGCCACACGCACATTCAAATTAGACCTCGCCGTCCCTGGGGGGGCTGCGATATGTGAAACTGTCGCCACTTTCGAGGCCTGCTGGGGGCCCTGCGCAGTGACGCCACACGCGTTATCACATTAGACCTCGCCATCCCTGGGGGGCTGCGATTTGTGAAACTGTTGCCACATTCGAGGCCTGCTGGGGGACCCAGCACAGTGTCGCCACGCGCGGACCCAAATTAGACCTCGCCATCCCTGGGTGGCTGCGATCTGAGATCCCCGCCTTCGAAGTGGCTAGGGTTGCTCAGGGATTGTAACTAATCAGCTTTATCTAGTCCATGTCCTGTAGCCAGTGTCCTGCGAGTGTCCCGAATTCCGTCTGCAGACATATGTAACCCTCGTTCCGTCATCGCCCCATTTATAAAGTGTCCAAAACTATTTGCGCCCCGCGTTTGCGCAGGGGTTGGGTACGTCGCCAGGGTATTTTTTGTCCTTTTCCTCCTCCTCTTGGGGGGCCTCTTGGGGGCCTCATGGGCCTTGTTGGGCGCCTCTTGGGCCGCCGTGGGCCGTTTTGGGGCGAAAGGTTCGGATTGTTGATTCAGGCTCCCCTTGGCCCTCTTCGGGCCGTCTTGGGGCACTCTTGTGCCGTCGTGGGAGCCTCTTGGGCCGTCGTGGTGCCCTCTTGGGCCATTCCGAGCGCCTTCAACGCCGTGAAGGCCGAAAAGTCGTGGATGATGTAAATGTACGTTTCCCCTTAGGAATTCAACGATTTTGGACTCTGGGGCCCTTCTTGGGAATGCTCTTGGAGGCTTCCTGGGCCGTCTGGGAGGCTTCAGCGGCCGTCTTGGGGCCATCCTGGGCGTCTTGGGCCGACCTTTGGGCGTCTCGGGGGCCTCTTGGGCCGTCGTGGGGGCTGCTTGTAGCCCTCTGGGGCCTCGTGGGGCCTGATGACACCTTTGCCCCCCAGCCGCCAGGCGCTCCCGTCCCCGCCACCGCGCGCCGCGCTGCCAGGATATCCTGAGCGGTGCCGCTGCGCGACCTCGCGGCGAGCCGGCGGAGGTGCCCCCCGCGCCCCCGGGCCATGAAGGAGGCGTGCAGGAGGAGGAGGGAGAAGAGGAGGAGGAGGAGGAGGAGGAGGAGGAGGAGGAGGAGGAGGAGGAGGAGGAGGAGGAGGAGGAGGAGGAGGAGGAGGAGGAGGAGGAGGAGGAGGAGGAGGAGGAGGAAGGGGATGAGGCGAAGAAAAAGGGGGGAGGGTGAGGATGAATATGAGGAGGAGGAGAAGGACAACAGTCGTCCGACAGATCTTCAGCAGTTCTCCGACAGTTTTCTCTGGAGACCTGGTCTCTGGAGAACATTTTTCTGTTAGTTCTCCAACAGTTCTCTGGCAGTTCTCCGAAAGTTCTCTGGAGAACTGCTGGGGAATTGTTGGAAAATTGTTCGTTTTGGAGGCTCGTTGGGCCGTCTTGGGGCCCTCTTCGGCCGTCTTGGAGGCCTTTGGGGCCGTCTGGGAGCGATATTGGGTGCCTCTTGGGCTGCTTTGTTGCGTCGGGAAGCCGGAAAACGTGATAATCCCCCAAACCTTCAAACACTAATGGAGAAGCTATGATGTTTGCTTCTTGGGGCTCTCTTGGGAGGCCTCTTGGAGGCCTGTTGGAGGCCTTTTGGGCCGTCTTGATGCCATCTTGGGCATCTTGAAGAGGCATTTCGGACAGTTCTCCAAGAGTTTCCCGACAGTTTTCCAACAGGTCTCCGACAGTTCCCCAACAATTCTGCGCCAGTTCTCTGGAGAACTGTTCTCTGGAGAACATATCTCCGACCCTTTGGGCCGTCTTGGGACCGTCTTGGGCCGTCTTGGGACCGTCTTGGGGCCGTCTTGGGGCCGTCTTGGGTCGTCTGGGGGCGAGATTGGGTGCCTCTTGGGCCGTCTTGGAGCGCCGGGAAGCCGAAACTGCGAGAACCCCCAAAATCTTAGAAACAGCTATGATGGTTGCTTTTTGAGGCCCTCTTGGGAGGCGTCTTGGGGCGTCTTGGAGGCCTCTTTGGCCGTCTTGGGGCGTCTAGAAGCTACCTTTCGGACAGTTCTCAAACAGGTATTCGACAGTTCTCCAACACTTCTCCGCCAGTTCTCTGGATCTCTGGAGAAGAAGTTGACTGGCAGTTCTCCGACAGTTCTCTGGATAACGTTTCTATGGATAACAGCCCTCCAACAGTTCTCCGACAGGTCTTTGGATACTGTTTGGCTGGGTAGCAGTTCTCGGACAGTCCTCCTGCAGTTCTCCGTCAGTTGTCTGGAGAACTGTTGCCTGGAGAACAGTTCTCCGACTGTTCTTTGTTGGTTCTCCAACAGATCTCCAACAGTTCTCTGGAAAGTTGTCGGGAAATTGTTGGAGAATTGTCCGTCTTGGAGGCCACTTGCGCCTTCTCGGGGCTCTCTTTGGCCGTCTTGGGGGCCTTTGGGGCCTGTGGGGCCATCTGGGGGCGATCTTGGGGCCCTCTTCGGCCGTCTTGGAGGCCTTTGGAGCCGTCTGGGAGCGATATTGGGTGCCCCTTGGGCTGCTTCGTTGCGTCGGGAAGCCGGAAAACGTGATAATCCCCCAAACCTTCAAACACTAATGGAGAAGCTATGATGTTTGCTTCTTGGGGCTCTCTTTGGAGGCCTGTTGGAGGCCTTTTGGGCCGTCTTGATGCCATCTTGGGCATCTTGAAGAGGCATTTCGGACAGTTCTCCAAGAGTTTCCCGACAGTTTTCCAACAGGTCTCCGACAGTTCCCCAACAATTCTGCGCCAGTTCTCTGGAGAACTGTTCTCTGGAGAACATATCTCCGACCCTTTGGGCCGTCTTGGGACCGTCTTGGGCCGTCTTGGGACCGTCTTGGGGCCGTCTTGGGGCCGTCTTGGGTCGTCTGGGGGCGAGATTGGGTGCCTCTTGGGCCGTCTTGGAGCGCCGGGAAGCCGAAACTGCGAGAACCCCCAAAATCTTAGAAACAGCTATGATGGTTGCTTTTTGAGGCCCTCTTGGGAGGCGTCTTGGGGCGTCTTGGAGGCCTCTTTGGCCGTCTTGGGGCGTCTAGAAGCTACCTTTCGGACAGTTCTCAAACAGTTATTCGACAGTTCTCCAACACTTCTCCGCCAGTTCTCTGGATCTCTGGAGAAGAAGTTGACTGGCAGTTCTCCGACAGTTCTCTGGATGACGTTTCTATGGATAACAGCCCTCCAACAGTTCTCCGACAGGTCTTTGGATACTGTTTGGCTGGGTAGCAGTTCTCGGACAGTCCTCCTGCAGTTCTCCGTCAGTTGTCTGGAGAACTGTTGCCTGGAGAACAGTTCTCCGACTGTTCTTTGTTGGTTCTCCAACAGATCTCCAACAGTTCTCTGGAAAGTTGTCGGGAAATTGTTGGAGAATTGTCCGTCTTGGAGGCCACTTGCGCCTTCTCGGGGCTCTCTTTGGCCGTCTTGGGGGCCTTTGGGGCCTGTGGGGCCATCTGGGGGCGATCTTGGGGCCCTCTTCGGCCGTCTTGGAGGCCTTTGGGGCCGTCTGGGAGCGATATTGGGTGCCCCTTGGGCTGCTTCGTTGCGTCGGGAAGCCGGCGGGGCCCTCTTGGGAGGCGTCTTGGAGGCCTCTTCGGGCGTTTTGGAGGCCTCTTGGGCCGTTTTGGGGCCATCTCGGGCCGTCTAGAAGCGATCTCTCGGACAGTTCTCCAACAGTTTTCCGACAGTTCTACAACAGTTCCTTGGAGAGTTGTTCTCTGGAGAACAGTTCCCCTACAGTTCTCCGACCGTTCTCCAACAGTTCACCAACAGTTCTCTGGAGAACTGTCGGGGAATTGTTGGAAAACTGGTCGTCTTGGATGCCACTTGGGCCGTCTTGGGGTCGCCTTGGGCCGTCTTGGGGCCGAATTGCGGGCCTCTTTGGTTGTCTGGGGGCGATCTTCGGTGATTTCTCAGGCTGCCTTGAGCGTCGGGAAGCCGAAAACGCGAACATTTTCAAACACCAACATAACAGCTATGATTGTGCTTCTTGGGGCCCTCTTGGAGGCCTCTTGGATGCTTCTTGGGGCGTCTCGGAGGTCTCTCGGGTTGTTTGGGGGCCACCTTGGGCCGTCTAGAAGCGATCTGTCTGTCGGACAGTGCTCCAACAGTTTACCAACAGTTCTCCAACCGTTCCCCGACAGTTCCTTGGAGAATTGTTCTCTGGAGAACAGTCTTCCGACAATTCTCCAGCAGTTCTCCAACAGTTCTCCAACAGTTCCACGACAGTTCTCTGGAGAACTGTCGGGCAACTGTTGGAGAACTGGCCGTCTTGGAGGCCCTTTGGGCCGTCTTGTGGCCTTTTCGGGCCGTCTTGGGGCCGTTGAGCCGAACAAAGCTCTCCGAAGGGCCCACAGGCATAGGCTTCCAAGAAACCCCCGAGGCTTCCAAGAGGCCCCCGAGCCCCTCGGGCAGTCACGGTCCAGACCTGGAGGGGAAATGAAGGAGGGGTCCACAAGGGGGAACAGTGGTTGGAGCATTTGGCGTGTCTGAGTTGAGCCCGCATAGCGCGAGTCACGTCGGGCTCTGAGGGATAGGGGGCGCAGGAGAAACTGTGGACTCGAAAGCCTAAAGTCCGAAGCTGCATTTGCCTGGACAGGGGAATAATTCGTTGTGCCGACTCGATAAGGGAATGGAAGGACACGTGCTATGTGTGTAGATCTATACACATATACATACATGTACGCCAGGGGCTATGGCACATATAAGTATACACACATGCACAAACATACATATTCGCATACGCGTGCACGTATCTCTCTACATATATATTCCGATATACATACGTGCATGTACGTCCATACGCACATACGTACATACATACCTATATGACTTTGAACATCCACGCATACATACATACATGCATACATACATATTTCTATATCTGTATGTACACACCCATACACATACACACAGACACACAGACACACACAGAAACACACACACACGCAGACGCATACACACATTCATACACATATGCCAACACACATCCATACCACACATACACGTACACACATACCTACATACATACATACACACATACATACATATATATATATATATATCGATATATCTATATATATATATATATATATATATTCACACCCATATATACACCAACATCCATACACGCGCACACATACATACATAACGTGACGCAACGTAACGTAATGTAGCACAACGCAACGCAACGTAACGTCACGAACGCACGTACGTACATACATACATTCACTTTACCGACCTACATACATGCCTGTACACGTTCACACACATACATATACACATACATACATATACATCTATGTACATGCATACATACATGCATACATGCATACATACGCACGTCCACACATCCGCGTACATGTACACCTTTACAAGCATGCATACATACATACGTACATACACATGCATATTTACTTCCATGTCTAGACATGTACATAGTCATATACTGGTACACGTCCTTTCGCATCTACACACGTGTACATCTACATATACATTTGCACATACACCTACATATCGGTACACACACGTATACATGCACATACTCGTATGCATGTGCGTATACATTTACTGCACATATACATCCACGTACATATTTAGATACATATTCATGTACATATACATTCACACATATACACGTACATACACACATGCATTCACACATACATACACGCATCCATACACATACACACGTCTACACCTATACATGCATATGTACATGCATGCATGCATACATAGATGCATGCACCCATACATACCTGCATACACATACATACATACATACATACATACATACATTCATACACATACATATATACATCCATACATCCATACATCCATACATCCATACATCCATACATCCATACATCCATACATCCATACATCCATACATCCATACATCCATACATCCATACACACACATACATACACACACATACATACATACATACATACATACATACATCCAACATACATACATCCATACATACATGCACACATACATACATACATACATGCATGCATGCATACATACATACACACATGCATGCATGCATACATACATACACATATACCTACCTACCTACCTACCTTCCTACCTTCCTACCTTCCTACCTTCCTACATACATACATACATACATACATGCATGCATGCATGCATGCATACATGCATACACATACATCGATACATTCATGTATGTAGACAGACAGGCAGGCAGACAGACTGACAGACAGACAGACATACGTACGTACGTACACACCTACCTACATGCACGCATACATACATGCAAACATACATACACGTACGTACGTACGTATGTACATACATACATACGGACGGACGGACGGACGGACGGACGGACGTACATACATACATTGAAACTCCCCCCCATTCCCTGGCGCTGAATCTGGCCATGCCAGGTACAGAATTTCCCATCTGGTTGACCATGCAGCGGGGATCCCGTGGCCCCCATGCGCCGTGATTTGGCCTCGGACATTGCTGCCTCGGACACCGCTGCCGTGAGTTTCGGCGTGGCCTCCTCCGCCCTGGCCACGCTGGGTGCCGCCTGCCTTGCCCTCCTGGCGGTCCGTCCGAACGGCGCGCCACGAGCTCAGCCACGCCACGTCGGCGCGCAGTTCGGCGGACCTGGAGCCGGCGCCCCAGTGGATGGTGGGCAGAAAGGGCATCTCTTGTCCGTTCGCCGTGTGGCCCAGGCCCGCCAGGCGCTCGCCCTGTGCGACCACCCCGTCGCCGAAGAGGCGCCCGCCGCCCCGCGGGGCCAGCCAGGCCCGCTGCAGGTACGTCACAGCCCCGATGGCGCAGGTGCGGAGCAGCGTGACGCAGTGCTGCCTCTCTCCAGGTCAGCGGTCTCCAGAGCCTCGGGCGCATCGCCGCAGGCTGCCGGCCGCGGCGCCGAGGCGACGGGGGAGGTCTGGGCGTCCCGCCACTCGGGGTCATCCCAGGTTTGGACGACGCTCGGAGCGCGCAGATGGCTCTGGTCACCATGCGGTGCGCCACTGCCCCGCCGCACGCCAGGGCTCTGCTGCCGCCGTTCTTCGGCCCGGCCTGGGAGTCTGCTGGCCGGCGCCAGGTCCAGAGCCTCTGGCGGCGCGCCGCCGACGACGAGGCGGGACAGCACCCGAGCATCGGTCGCGCCCTGCGACTCTGTGCGCGATGGGGCGCCAGTGATCGCATTGGCCGCCCACCACTCCTGTGGGGCGCACGCCAACATGGATTAGGGGTCTCTGGATCTGGCGTGCGAGCGCCCGATCCACGGATCGGGGAAGGTCCCCCCCCCCCGAAAGATGGGCGCCAGCGCAGGCCGATTTGGCGACGGAGCGCGCCAATCCTTTACGGAAGCGGGTCGGCGTCGCTAGCCCATGTTTGTGTTATATCTAGCCTGCACCCCACCACCCCAGTTGGGGGATAGGTCCCTCGTATCCCGAAGGGAGCAGCCCATATCCCCATCTAGAGAGGTAAAGCGTCGCCAGTCGGGATAGGGATCGGCTACACGATGCTCATCCTGCACTGGAGCCCTGGGGTGTCTTTGTCCATGTGCTGGCCAAGAGCGCCTGGCCGTCGTCCTGGGGCAGCGCGGCGCCCGCGAGGTCCAGGACCCCTTCGAGGCCGCACTGCTGGGGAGCCTTCAGGGGGTGCCGCTCCTGCGCGCCGTCGGCACCCACTTGGGCGCCTCCCACGCGGAAGGGGCGCCCACATGGACCACGCGCTGGTGTGGGAGCCTTGCCCCTCCCTCCCCCCTCCCCCTTCCCCCTTCCCCCTCCCCTTCCCCTCCTCCCCTCCCTTCCCCCTCCCCTCCCCTTCCTCCACCACTTCCCCCCTACCCTTCCCCCTCCCCTTCGCCCTCCCCTTCCCCCTCCCCTTCCCCCTCCCCTTCCTCCTCCCAGGCCGCCACCACCACACCTCCCCTTCCCCCCCCCCCTCCCCCCCCCCCCTCCCCCACCTCCCCCTCCCCTCCGCATCCCTCCAGCCCTTCCCCCCCCCCCTTCGGCGGCGAGGCGCCAGCGCCCGCGGCGGCCGCCCTCGCCCAGGCCGAGGCCCGCGCGGCCGCCCTCGCTTCGCCTGCGGGCCGCCGCCGCCGGGCCCTCCGAGGTCGTCGTCGTCGTCGTCGTCGTCGTCGTCGTCGTCGTCGTCGTCGTCGTCGTCGTCGACCTTGTCCTCGTCCTCGTCGTCGTCGTCGTCGTCGTCGTCGTCGTCGTACGCCCACGGGCCGCCGCCGCCTGCGTTGGGAGGCCCAAGGGGGGCCTTTTGAGATTCGCACTCTTTACAACCGAGATGGGACACCTTTACAATAGAACAGACCCTTTACAACCGAGATGGGACACCTTGTTTCGACCAGAACGGCACTTTACAACCGAGATCGGACAGTCCACAACCAATTCATATCAAATCATATGGTATTCCTTAGAGAAGGACCACTTCACAACCATAACTGACCACTTTAGATAACCAGAGCCACCACTTTACAACCCAGACGGAGCTCTTTACTACCACAACGGCTACTCTACAACCAGCGCTCAGAAAGCTCTGAACTCTCTGCAGAAGCTTCTGATGTTCCGAGCGCTTGTGCGCTCTGCAGAGGCTTCTGAAGTTTCTGAGCGCCTGTGCGCTCTGCAGAGGCTTCTGAGGGCTCTGAGCGCCTGAGCGCTCTGCAGAGGCTTCTGAGGTTGGGGGGTGCCACTACAGGCTGTGCGGAAACGGGGGCAGGAGCTCCCCTGAGGTGCTGGGGCCTTCTGGGAGGAACGGGGGGCCCGACTGGTGTCGGGAGTCCGCACACTTCCTCGGTCGTCCGGGGCGTGTCCTGGAGGAGGGGTCGGTGTCCGGGGGCGCCCTGGCGGGTCCTGGGGCCGTCCTGGGGTATTTTCGGGCCGCCCTCCGTGAGGGGGCCGTGCGCCCAGGAGTGCGTGGCCAGTTTTTTGTGGCCTCAGCGAACAGATTTTTCTGGGTTCACTGATGGAGCCTGTTGGGCTCGGTGAGCTGGCGGTCTTGGCCTCAGTGAGTTGGGCTCGCGGCGCCCTTGCCTGAGGCATATTCAAGAACTTCACTTCTCCTAGCACCCCAGTGAGGCGTTTTTTTCGGCCTCAGTGAAGATCTTCTGATGTTGAGTTTCATTTTTTCTCATATCTCCAAGGCTACCGCCTCTGTCGCCGACCCCAGAAAAGGCAGTATCGGTTTGTTTGCTTGGTTTGTGTTGGCTCATAATTCCCAGCGCGACTGAAAGATCAACGTCATGTGGTGGGTTTCGTTCGCTAACCACAGCACGATTGTGTGTGCTTCTGTCGCCACCGTCTTCTCTCGCGCTTCTTCTTTGTTGGGCGTCGTGGATGTTAGCATGTGTGTGTGTGTGTGTGTGTGTCTGTGTATGGCACCCATGAGGGGGGGGCGCAAGGCATTAGTTGCTATTTGCTCCTTTGAAGCGGCTTCTACCTCTGTGGTTCCTGTGCGGGGATTTGCTTGCCTCTTCTGGTTGGTCAAGGGTGTTGCTGTCTTTCTCATTCGTCGTCGTTTTCCCGGTCCGCAGGCGTGTAGGTTTGCATCGTGCTGCTTGCAGCGTCGTTGTGCGTTTTCAAGCTCCGTGTTGCCTGATCGTTCAGTGCTGCCCTCCGTCCTTCAGCGACGCAGCTGTTCGGCCAGGCGGCGACCCGTGAGAGCGCGAGCAGGATTGCCGTTCGGGTTTCGCGGCTGAGTCCGTGAAGGTGCCTGTCCTTCTCCTTTTGTTCTTGTTCTACTAGTGTTTCTTCTCCTAGCCCTCCCCCTGTTCTTCCTGTTTTTTTGGCTCGTGCTTGCTGTAGAGATCGCGGGGAAGTGTGAAGATCCCAGGGCTGAGGGTGCCGGCGGGGGACCTGGGGCGGGGTCAGATCCAGGCTGGGAATTGCAGGGCTGGGGGGAGGCAAAGACACAGATCCCAGGGGCTGTTGGTACCTGGGACGGGGTCAGATCCGGGTCAGGAATTGCAGGGCTGGGGGGGCCCAAAAACACAGATCCCAGAGTGTCGGCGGGGGACGTGGGGCGGGATCAGACCTGGACCAGGAATGGCAGTGTTGGAGGGGCCCAAGAACACAGATCCCAGGGGCTGAGGGTGTCGGCGGGGGACCTGGGACGGGGTCAGATCCGGGCCAGGAAAGGCAGTGTTGGGGGGGCCCAGGAACACAGATCCCAGGGGCTGAGGGTGTCGGCGGGAGACCTGGGGTCAGATCCGGGCCAGGAATTCCAGGGTTGGGGGGGCCCAAGACATGGGGTTGAGGGTGTCGGCGGGGGACCTGGGACGGGGTCAGATCTGGCTGCGGGGGCCCAAAAACACATACCCCAGGGGCTGAGGGTGTCGGGAGACCTCGGATGGGGTCATAGCCAGGCATTGCAGGGCTGGAGGGGCCAAGAATACATATATTCCAGGGGCTGAGGGTGTCGGCGGTGGACCTGGGACGGGGTCAGATCCGGGCCAGGAATTGCAGGGCTGGTAGGGCCCAAAAACACATCCCATGGGCTGACGGTGTCGGCGGGGGACCTGGGACGGGGTCAGATCCGGGCCAGGAATTGCAGGGTCGGGGGGGGGGCCCAAGAACACATATCGCAGGGGCTGAGGGTGTCGGCGTGGGACCTGGGACGGAGTCTGATCTGGGCTAGGAATTGCAGGGTTGGAGGGGCTCAAGAACACATCCCAGGGGCTGAGGGCGTCGGCGGGGGACCTGGGACGGGGTCAGATTTGGGCCAGGAATTGCAGGGTTTGGGGGGGGGTCGGCGGGGGATCCGGGACGGGGTCAGATCTGGGCCAGGAATTGCAGGGTTGGGGGGGCCCGAGAACGCAGATTCCAGGGGCTGGCGGGGGACCTGGGACAGGGTCAGATCGGCCAAGAATGCAGATCCCAGGGACTGAGGGCGTCGGCGGGGGACCTGGGACGGGGTCTGAGCCGGGCTAGGAATTGCAGGGTTGGAGGGGCCCAAGAACACATCCCAGGGGCTGAGGGCGTCGGCGGGGGACTTGGGACAGGGTCAGATCCGGGCCAGGAATTGCAGGGGGCACCTGGGACGGGGTCAGATCCGGTCCAGGAATAGCAGGGTTGGGGGGCGCCAAGGACACAGGTCGCAGGGGCTGAGGTTGTGGGCGGGGGACCTGGGACGCGGTCAGATCTGGGCCAAGCATTACAGGGTTGGGGGGGCCCAAGAACACAGATCCCAGGGACTGAAGGTGTCGGCGGGGGACCTGGGACGGGGTCAGATCCGGGAGTTGCAGGGTTGGGGGGTCTCAAGAACAGAGCTCCCAGAATGGTGCGGGGGTCGGACCAGGTGTGGGGTCAGGGTCGGTGCTGGGGCAGGAATGTTGTCGGGTGGGGGATCCAGAGAACGGAGCTCCGAGGATGGTGCTGAGGGTGTCGGCGGGGGTCAGATCGGGGCCAGGAATTGCAGGGTTGAGGGGGCCCGAAAATACAAATCCCAGTGGCTGACGGTGTCGGCGGGGGACCTGGCACGGGGTCAGATCCGGGCCAGGAATTGCAGGGTCGGGGGGGGCCCAAGAACACAGATCGCAGGGGCTGAGGATGTCGGCGTGGGACCTGGGACGGGGTCTGATCCGGGCTAGGAATTGCCGGGTCGGGGGGGCCAAACACACAGATCCCAGGGGCCGCTGAGGGTGTCGGCGGAGGACCTTGGGCGGGGTCAGATCCGCACGACAGGAATGGCAGTGTTGGGGGGGCTAAGAATACAGATCCCAGGGGCTGAGGGCGTCGGCGGTGGACCTGGGACGGGGTCAGATCCGGGCCAGGAATCCAGGAATTGCAGGGTTGGGGGGCCCAAGAACACATATCCCCCAGCCTGAAGGTGTCGGCTGGGGACTTGGGACGCGGTCCGATCCGGGCCAGGAATAGCAGGGTTGGGGGGTTTGAAAACACATATCCCAGGGGCTGAGGGTGTCGGCGGGGGGCCTGGGACGGGGTCAGATCCGGGCTGGGAATTGCAAGGTTGGGGAAGGGCTGAGGGTGCCGGTGGGGGACATGTGACGGGGTCAGATCCTTGCCAGGAATTGCAGGGTTGGGGGTGCCCAAGAACACATATCTCAGGGGCGGCTGGCAGGGGACGTGGGGCGGGGTCTTATCCAGGCCAGGAGTTGCAGGGCTGGGGGGGCCCAAGTACAAAGATCCCAGGGGTTGAGGGTGTCGGCGTGGGACCTGGGGCGGGGCCAGATCCGGGCCAGGAATTGCAGGGTTGGGGGAGTTCCAGGGGCTCAGGTTGTCGGCGGGGGACCTGGGACGGGGCCTGATCTGGGCCAGGAATTGCAGGGTTGGGGGGGGCCCAAGAACACAGATCCCATGGGGGTGGTGGTGGTAGCAGCAAAAACAGGCTAAAACACTAGAATGAGTTATGGAAGTTTGAGAAATAGTTGTAAGAAAGAGAGAGAGAGAGAGAGAGAGAGAATAACAGAGAATTAGCCTGGCGAAGGACCCAACCATATGCAGTTGAGAGTACCGCAATTGTGAATATCTTCTTCGGTGGCGCTCCCTATGGGGCCACGAGCCGTATGAGGGGTGTGCCGAAATGCGTGGCAGTGTACACAACACGAACGAAGACGATAGGTCCGAATATGAAAGCTTGAGCGCGTGCGAGTCGGATCGCGAGCGAGTCTGATTATGAATGAATCTGCGCGCGATTGATTCTATTCGCATGAATGCGTGCATGGATACGCCCAGTGTAAATGTATGTATACGACTGTGAACAGTTTGGGTCTGCGTGACTCTCGGTACTCGTGACTCTGAGCGTCGCCTCTGCAGGGGGCTTCCCTGGGAACCCCGACGGCAGCGCCCGCGCGCCGCGACGCCCATGTCGGCACGCCACACACCTGGTGTGCGGGACGCATGCGGACGGCAGCACTGGGGCCTTCGGTGGAGCTCCCTGTGGGGCCACGAAACGTGTGAGGGGTGTGCCGAAATGGGTGTGCGGGACGCATGCGGACGGCAGCCATGGGGCCTTCGGTGGAGCTCCCTATGGGGCCACGAAACGTGTGAGGGGTGTGCCGAAATGGGTGTGCGGGACGCATGCGGACGGCAGCACTGGGGCCTTCGGTGGAGCTCCCTGTGGGGCCACGAAACGTGTGAGGGGTGTGCCGAAATGGGTGTGCGGGACGCATGCGGACGGCAGCCATGGGGCCTTCGGTGGAGCTCCCTATGGGGCCACGAAACGTGTGAGGGGTGTGCCGAAATGGGTGTGCGGGACGCATGCGGACGGCAGCACTGGGCCTTCGGTGGACACGAAACGTGTGAGGGGTGTGCCGAAATGGGTGTGCGGGACGCATGCGGACGGCAGCACTGGGGCCTTCGGTGGAGCTCCCTGTGGGGCCACGAAACGTGTGAGGGGTGTGCCGAAATGGGTGTGCGGGACGCATGCGGACGGCAGCCATGGGGCCTTCGGTGGAGCTCCCTATGGGGCCACGAAACGTGTGAGGGGTGTGCCGAAATGGGTGTGCGGGACGCATGCGGACGGCAGCACTGGGGCCTTCGGTGGAGCTCCCTGTGGGGCCACGAAACGTGTGAGGGGTGTGCCGAAATGGGTGTGCGGGACGCATGCGGACGGCAGCCATGGGGCCTTCGGTGGAGCTCCCTATGGGGCCACGAAACGTGTGAGGGGTGTGCCGAAATGGGTGTGCGGGACGCATGCGGACGGCAGCACTGGGGCCTTCGGTGGAGCTCCCTGTGGGGCCACGAAACGTGTGAGGGGTGTGCCGAAATGGGTGTGCGGGACGCATGCGGACGGCAGCCATGGGGCCTTCGGTGGAGCTCCCTATGGGGCCACGAAACGTGTGAGGGGTGTGCCGAAATGGGTGTGCGGGACGCATGCGGACGGCAGCACTGGGGCCTTCGGTGGAGCTCCCTGTGGGGCCACGAAACGTGTGAGGGGTGTGCCGAAATGGGTGTGCGGAACGCATGCGGACGGCAGCCATGGGGCCTTCGGTGGAGCTCCCTATGGGGCCACGAAACGTGTGAGGGGTGTGCCGAATGGTGTGCGGGACGCATGCGGACGGCAGCCATGGGGCCTTCGGTGGAGCTCCCTATGGGGCCACGAAGCGTGTGAGGGGTGTGCCGAAATGGGTGTGCGGGACGCATGCGGACGGCAGCACTGGGGCCTTCGGTGGAGCTCCCTGTGGGGCCACGAAACGTGTGAGGGGTGTGCCGAAATGGGTGTGCGGGACGCATGCGGACGGCAGCCATGAGGCCTTCGGTGGAGCTCCTTATGGGGCCACGAAGCGTGTGAGGGGTGTGCCGAAATGGGTGTGCGGGGCGCATGCGGACGGCAGCCATGGGGCCTTCGGTGGAGCTCCCTGTGGGGCCACGAAACGTGTGAGGGGTGTGCCGAAATGGGTGTGCGGGACGCATGCGGACGGCGGAGGAGAGGAGAGAGGAGGAAGGAGGAAGGAGACGCGGGGCACCGTCTCTTCAAAACGAGGACCCAACACCACAGGATGGTTGGGAAAAATAATTAATGAGAGAGAGAGAGAGAGAGAGAGAGAAGACGTATAAGCAGCAGATGGAGGAGTACCCAGCCTCCCCCTCCCGCCTTTCCCGCCCCCCCCCTCCTTGCTTTCCCTCCCGCTCCTGCGACGCCCGCTCTTCCCCAAACGAAAGAGAAACAACCGGCCGCAGGCCCGGGGCGGCGGCGGCAGCGCGCGCTTGCAGCACGGCGGCAACCCCATTTGGAGGGCGGTGCAGGCGCGGGGGCGCCCCGGGCCACTGGGCCGCCCGCCGCGGGTAGTAGTAGTAGTAGTAGTAGTAGTAGTAGTAGTAGTAGTAGTAGTAGTAGTAGTAGTAGTAGTAGTAGTAGTAGTAGTAGTAGTAGTAGTAGTAGTAGTAGTAGTAGTAGTAGTACTAATATTAGTAGTAGTAGTAGTAGTAGTAGTAGTAGTAGTAGTAGTAGTAGTAGTAGTAGTAGTAGTAGTAGTAGTAGTAGTAGTAGTAGTAGTGTAGTAGTAGTATAGTAGTAGTAGTAGTAGTAGTAGTAGTAGTAGTAGTAGTAGTAGTAGTAGTAGTAGTAGTAGTAGTAGTAGTAG